AAAAAAAAAAAAAAAAAAAAAAAAAAAAAAAAAAAAAAAAAAAAAAAAAAAAAAAAAAAAAAAAAAAAAAAAAAAAAAAAAAAAAAAAAAAAAAAAAAAAAAAAAAAAAAAAAAAAAAAAAAAAAAAAAAAAAAAAAAAAAAAAAAAAAAAAAAAAAAAAAAAAAAAAAAAAAAAAAAAAAAAAAAAAAAAAAAAAAAAAAAAAAAAAAAAAAAAAAAAAAAAAAAAAAAAAAAAAAAAAAAAAAAAAAAAAAAAAAAAAAAAAAAAAAAAAAAAAAAAAAAAAAAAAAAAAAAAAAAAAAAAAAAAAAAAAAAAAAAAAAAAAAAAAAAAAAAAAAAAAAAAAAAAAAAAAAAAAAAAAAAAAAAAAAAAAAAAAAAAAAAAAAAAAAAAAAAAAAAAAAAAAAAAAAAAAAAAAAAAAAAAAAAAAAAAAAAAAAAAAAAAAAAAAAAAAAAAAAAAAAAAAAAAAAAAAAAAAAAAAAAAAAAAAAAAAAAAAAAAAAAAAAAAAAAAAAAAAAAAAAAAAAAAAAAAAAAAAAAAAAAAAAAAAAAAAAAAAAAAAAAAAAAAAAAAAAAAAAAAAAAAAAAAAAAAAAAAAAAAAAAAAAAAAAAAAAAAAAAAAAAAAAAAAAAAAAAAAAAAAAAAAAAAAAAAAAAAAAAAAAAAAAAAAAAAAAAAAAAAAAAAAAAAAAAAAAAAAAAAAAAAAAAAAAAAAAAAAAAAAAAAAAAAAAAAAAAAAAAAAAAAAAAAAAAAAAAAAAAAAAAAAAAAAAGCACAGCATGTGCCAGGCATTTGGTCGTTTTTTGTGGCAAAAATTATCTGTGCTATAGATAAGGCACCATCTACAATAGCAAAGCCTGCTAGACTTGCACCATCGTTTGTGACATCCGTTGATTTTTGCTTCCTGGTCACTTGGTAAACTGCCTTTAGAAAATATAAACAAAACTTACAACATGAATATGAATGTGCCTTTAGAAAATATAAACAAAACTTACAACATAAATATATGCATGTACCAGACTAAAGTTTTAAAGGCGTTCACGACTGTAAATCCCTAGGGCCAGCGAACTCTTCCAGTTCATTTACGACTAATTTTATCTAATAGGCTTTACAATTACTTTAATTTATGTATTTTATGTAATTTATTTGATCACTTACCCTCGAGCAAGTAACCAAATGGGCAATTTATGAACGGGGATCCTTTCTGCATCCACACCTAAAAGCCATAAACAAAACTCTGACATCAAATGTTTTACTTAATTGGTGAACATGCCTACCTAATCGATAGAGTTTGGACATTTGACCACTATTATATCTGCAATTACCACAGGAAAGGGAAACGTTTGAATTTAGTTGCTGTTTGAGCCCATTACATCGGATATTAATTGTCATCAAGTTGTTTAGTTTAGGACAATCAGCTTGCGAGATCAATTTTCCCAGAACCGCATTGTGTGTCCCAGCATTATATCAAGGTGTATATGGAATTTTTCTTGGGGAGGTGTTTGTCCACAATTCCATGAAAACAACTCCCCAACTTTTCCTTGCTAAAAGTGCTTAATGTGCTAATGGGTCAACGTTTATAAATCAATATAACGCTCATATAAATGTACAGCAGCTCACGTCTGTGTTTCTAATCGCCATTCACTATGGAAAAAATGGCCGACTTTCAAGTCACTATACCAACTCTTGATGGATTTGACATGGTTGGGAGACAACATGATACGAGGTGTATACCCGAGGCTTTATCTAAGAGACAAAATGGTCAGGTGTTGGCCATAGAAGATTCCAAGGTGTATAAAAGTTTTAAGCCGTTACGCGTTGTTATGACAATATTTGGACTTTACCACGAGAAAAGGAGTGGCGCCAAAATTCACGATTTCTCGGCGAAGAGGGACGAACCAGGGAAGCAGAAAGTGTCCGCTTTACACGTTTACAGTTTCATTGCTGTGTCCTATATGTGGGTACATTTCATAGCACGTGGACTGGTTGCATTTGATGGCAATGAGAGTGTAGCAAACCCAGCACTGTACTATAAAATTATGTTTGCGGTTTGGCACCTGGTTTGCGCTCTTCAAGCTACGTTCTGTTACTGTGCTTGTCATTACAACGACCGGTTGCCAACGATCTGGAGGGAATGCACCCAGTTGGAAAGAGATCTTCCTAGCGTGATGGAGGCAATCAAACTCGATCTAAAGACAAAAATTGCAGCAGCATTTGTGGTATTTTATAATGTCCTTAACTTTGTTTACATGGTTTACTTAATGTCAAATGAATTAACGCCGGTATTTCTCTATTCTCCGTTTCACTACGTTGTGAATGTCACAGTTTCCAGCACCGATGTTACTATACTGAATGTATTTGTGGCATTTAGCGGTTTTTACACGAGTCTGGCTGCTTTTGTGCCATATGCCATTTATACATTCTTCTGCATTCTGTTCTACACCCTGTTTAAGGCATTCAACGATGAGTTTAAAGAGGAAGTACAACAAGCACTTGTAACAGGCGAGCCTCTCCGTGTGGAGTTTCACCGACGCCGTCATCTGAAACTCTGTAAATTATTTGACATTGCCGACGGGATGTTCAGTTTCTTCGTGGCCTACACTTTGGTTTTAAATACAGGACTTTGTTGCCTCATATGCTACATGTTGATTTATCATTTGGACGACGTGGCCGGTACACCCCTGGACATATTGGCAATGGTATCTTGGGCAGTACAGGCCGTAATGCAACTGGGCGTCGTTTCCATTGGGGCATTAGTTAACGATCAGGTCAGTCAGTCTCTCTCTCTCTCTCTCTCTCTCTCTCTCTCTCTCTCTCACACACACACACACACAAACACACACACACACACACACACACAAAATTTGCCTTACGATAGCATGTAAATGCACGCAATGGAGTACATCTCTACACCTCTCTCTCTCTCAACCTGAATTAAATCGCCCCACTAGTGTCGATAAAAACAAAGTTTTCATGGACAAAATTGCATCAGTTTCTTTTTCCGTTATTGGTGTTGGATCAACAATCGGATATCAGATGGGATGCCGTCTCTTCTTCGCTTTTGTAATTTATTCTACATATGTAGAGATCATCTTGCTAAATCCCTAAAAATCAGTGCTTTGGATAACATTCAATGACAATTTAGACATGTCTGGAACTCGATTGTTTGTAGCTCGAGGAAGTGTAAAAACAATCGACGTTTTCCTCACCTGAGCATTTTCAGTACATTGATCAATACTCAAAGTACTTGCACCCGATTTTGTTTACATTGGAAACCCAAAAACAATGAATTGGCAGTATTCCCTCCTCCAATGCCTAACGGATAATTTCCTTTTTATTGAACTGTTCTGACAACTGATCAAATATTTAAAATGCATTCAAGTAAAAATACTCAATGTATGCTTTTCGATATAACGATATCCTACTTGTACTGAACCGGCAGATTTTGGCTAGTGCAAGTGAGAAGACACGGTTAGGTTGCTTGAGATACAATGAGCCCAGCCGCTTACTTTTTACTTCGGAACCAGGGGAGCTTACTGAGAAAGAGAGAAGTTTGATGGAACCAAACACGTTACTGATGAAACAAAAATACATCACTGTTGAATTAGGATAATTTTACCGATTATTGAAATAATTTATTGGTTGTTTAGTTTTTCACACACACACACACATATGTTTAATTTCAACAAAGTGTATTTGTAATATGTTTTTCTTATAGGCACATTCCCCACTGTTGGAGCTCAACGAGGCTCAGTTGGACATCATACCCGATAACCAGTTGATTCCGGTAAGAATAAAATGGTATAACATTTACCACCAGGTGGATGTAATAGATACATAGAGGTGGTGTCATGGACATAGAAATATATATAGACATTTCAAATTATAGATAATATTCTGGATGCAAACAAGTCACGTCTTCGGCCGGTATGTTCCCAGAGATACAAAAAGATTTTTTCAATTAACAACCGTCAAAAAATAATGTCATCGAGGAATTTATTTTGGCCTTTATGAAATTTTGAATGTCACTTGCATTCTTCTGGGGCCCACCAGTTTACCATCTGTTAATTACAGTCCCCTATGACCAACCTTGCTCTAAAAACGAAACGTTAATCGTCCAGCAAATGGGAGTGAAATCGACTGATAAAATTCATTTGCTTTGCCAATAAAACAGTAATTGCAACATATAGTTTCATATTGATTGTCTCGTTTGGAATAAAATACCTTCTTTAAGTAGTATGGAAGAAATCGATGCTTTAGTTCAATAGGCGTGACTTAAGCTTTTAAAATATTATAAAAGCCGATTGGAATAATATTTTGCTCTCTCAAGCTCACGGCAACTGTCTGGAAACACCAGTAAGTCCCAGCGATGTTGACAAGTTTTAGTCTCCTCTATCGCATTCCACAACTTAAATAATAATTGTTTTTAACACTTTTTGACCAAAGCCGGTGTAACGAAACTGAGGGTCCGTGTAACGTAATGTCCGCCCTCTATTTAGTTATATAATGGTAAACCTGACCTAAATGGGTCAAAATCTAGGGCGAGACTAACGTAGAAATGAATGGGAAGCGGACTCTCTATCATTGGGTACACTCTTTCGCATTACACCGGTTTTGCAAAATATCAAAGAATTTTGTAATGTGAATTTGAACAAATGGCTATTGAACTCATTGATCGGCGATAAGGATACTAAAGAGCAGCATGCAATTATGATTAGTGAAATACAATAAAACTTTTGTAATAAAATGCTTTACACAAAACAATGCAAGCGCTTCATGCCGTCATTAAATAATTACAAATTATTTAGTTTCAGATGTTCCTGAACAAGCTAAGTGTAACTCCAATAGGATTTAGTGCACTGGGGATGTTTACCATAGATAAACCTACTATTTTGACGGTGAGTGAAACATGTAGAAACAAGGTTCAGTTCCTTTAAATGGTTACAATGTAATGGTTACAGTAATGTTATAAAATGGATCAATAATATATGTAGTAAAGAAATACAAAATTGATAAGTTTGTTATCGAGCGTGAGACCCCTCATTTCGACAAAAAATCATATTTTTCTTATTGCAACATTGTTTCAAATTAAGAAATGCATTAGAATTTAGATTGGTAAGAGGGAAACATTTACAACTGATCACAGACAAAAAACACCGGAGCTGTTTTCACGCTCTTAAATAGCTTACACCCTGTCTTTTAAATATCTCATCTAAATATTAAAATAAAAAAAGAAAGATAATGGAAAGATCGAACGACTTAACAATTATTTTCTTTGCTAATTAAACGTAACACGAGAAGAAAAAGACGTGGACATTGTTTACAGGGATTAACCAAATTATTAATTTTGTCTGGTTTTAAGTAATATTTCTGACATTATATATTGCAATAGTTTAAAGAAGGTATATTAACATATGAAGTCTATAGCGCCATTTTGTCAATGGTTGCTTGGATTGATGTTTTAATAAATTTTAAAAATTGTTGGTTTTAACAATGATATTTTGATACCATTTTCAGTGCAAGAGAGAAGCGTTTGTTAAGTGTTTGAAAATAAGTAAGGCTAATAATCTAATCTAAGTAAGGCTAATAAACCGTCATTTCTTTCAGATAATCGGCATGTTCCTGACTTATTTCTTTCTGATGATCCAGTTTAAACCATCTGATGTCACTGTGCCCTGTGCTGGGAATTTTACGGTCACTTGAACAGAAATAAGAAATACCAATACTACATGTATATTAATGAGACTCACAAAAAATGGAAAGCCAAGAGACGTATAAATGATAACAGATGGAATGCAATTATGCTTGTTAGCTTCACAATTGTAATTCTGTTGTATTGCAAGCTACAAACAATTGAAATATATTTTGGAGAATACATTGTTATAACATTCCAACATGGTTACAATATTGAAAGTTATCATTCTCTATACGTGGTAATTAATGTAATTATTAATAAAATGCAATAGGTTAGGAAGTGGATAGTGACGTAATTGTCTAGCATGAGAGGGGAGATGCTTTTTACACATTACTTGAAAGAAAAATATGGTAATTCAAAAAGAAAAATATCGAAAAGCTTGTTGTTTCTTTCTTGTTTGACTAAGCTTAAGGTTGTTTTAATGGTAAAATGAAAAGAGTTGTGTACTAATCATGATTATTTATGACCATCTGTCAAAGTCCCTTTCAGCCAATGTTTGTATATATGATTTCAACAATAATATAATGGCACAAACAATATCAGAATGTCTATTTGTATACCAGTACGCACGTGTATTAAAATACGATACGAAAACAGAAAAGGAGTTGATTGGAGTCTTTATTATTGGACTGATTCCCTTTGAAATTTTGACCCTCACGAGTCTCTGAAACACAATAGGTTCATGCTTTGGAACTGATTCACTTGCCCAACATTTCTGCAAAGATATAGTATAATAAACAAACTCATTATTTAGCCAAGCAGATGGAGAAGCAAATGATTCAGCGATACTTTAGTACATTAATAAGCAATCAATTCAAAATATACCAGCCATTACCTTTTTATACAGACCTAGCTGGCTAAGTGGGTCTGTTAAAATATAGATAACGAAATGTTGTGTTTTGATTGAATGCACACACCTGGATAGATAGATGGATGGACGGATGAAAGAAAAAAGAAACGCAAACAGAAACTTAATTAGTTTGTGATGTACACACGCAACAGGGAACACGCAAGCATTGTCAGATATGCATTATTTGTTTGCATTAATCAATGCTACATACAATGCACGACTCTGCCGATCTACGACACAGTTAAATAATTCAGCCGTACTCCAGGTCATATGAGATCTTTATATAGAACCCACATCATCATCATCTGTCTGTGTATAAAGGTCTATAGGAAGAGGTGGCATATTTTTTCAAGTTCTTCGCATATCAAAATATAAGAGTAGGTTTTATATGTACCTGTGTTGGCCACACCTTGACAAGTACAATGAGTTTCCGTGGGCTTCTCGGCATCATCGTCTACTTCGGATGCATCCTATTGTCAGGTATGAAGCTACAATTGCATTCTGTGTTCAGTGTTGTCTCTTGCATTAATATTTAATAGAACAAAATGTATCACGTCAACTGTGTAAGCCTTTCTGATACACAGTTTAGTTTAGCGTGTATAGCATATTACATATTGTATATAAATATGTCGGTAATTGAGTAAAGTATTCAGTTGCGTCTTAATAATTTTATGAGGTGCTTGCTTTTACATCACTAAGCAAATCGAGTACCGCAAATCATTCAGCATATTATGACTTACCTTATATATTCAATCCACTTGACATGTGTGCGCTTCTCCATCATTTACCCAAGTATTACATGGCTTTGGGAGATCATGTAATTGCTAACATAAATTTCCTTGATCATGTTCTACATAAACACCATTAAAACAATGTAATCAGTTTGAAAACAAAGGAATACACTGTACCTCTCTCCCCTTAACACCACCTTCTACCAAATGTAAGTATACTCTAAAACATGTTTTAACCAGGGGGGTGGGGGTACTATGAAAAAAAAATGACATTTTACTATGACATCTTTGTGTGCCAAGATAAAATTTTACCCAGAGGGGACCTTTACCCAGCAAATAAGGGAGTTCTTTCGGGCCTGTTACACATGTATAATCAGCTTATTCCTATCACTTCTTTTTGGCGACATTAGGAAGGCTAGACCTTCAGTGTAATAATTATACACATTGGCGAAGCCTGTTACAGTGGTGTAATTACAGATCACCCAGAAAGCATTGCAGAAACAAAACAGCTTTTCAACTTTTTTATATCCCCCCCCCAATCCCCCTTAATAGACATCAATGTGCTTGGTTCGTATATGTTAATAAATCCCCCACCGTAATATATGTATTACCTCCACATTGTTTCAAAAACTGTGTAGTAATCCATTCATTGAGTAATTGCCTCATCCATATCCTAAATCTGCCATCTGGTTGAGAAGTGGTATAGTGGTTTAAATCAACACAAATTTTCTAGATATAAGCAATCCAAAGAAAAATGGTCATGAATCAATTCCATTCCCGTACATTGCAAAATGTCTTCCTTTTACGTTTCAGTCAATGGGCAGCAAAACGTTAATCTAACAGTAACACCAGGAACGGTTTCAACAAGTTCCGGGGAGAGAGTGGAATTACAATGTATATTCTCCGGGGCGTGGATGCCAGGGTATAACCTGCAATGGAAAAAAGGGGACACTCCCATTGCTGAAAAATCGTCCACGACCATTTTGGCGCCGTTTGCAAGCACGAGTCGATTTTCCCTATCCATGGAGACACCAAATGATATCATATATGTGCTGAACATTACAGGTATTGTTTATACATATATAAATGGTTTGGGTTAGTAAGACACAGCTTAAGGCAAATGGGCAAAAATTATCAAACTTTCAGATACATTATGTTATAATCGCAGAATTCTATTTCCATATAAGATCGATTTGTGGTGTTTCACTGTATAGATATAGCAATACTTTTTTCTGTACAGCACTATGGAGTAGCCTGCTTTTCAATTTTGTTGCTTCTAATCAATAACAATGACCTAATTTTAAGAATCTATGACTTAACAAAAAATGCAGTATCTGTAAAATTCACAATTTTCCCCCCATTGAAATAGATCAAGTAATTACCCTATAATTTCAGAACATTCCAAACCCTGTCAAACTTTTTTCCAATACGCATAATCGTCCAAAATCTCAAAGAAGATGCGGGTAATTGTGTACTATCAGCGCAGTCGCTATGGTAATTAAGATGCGGGTAGTCTCACTGCAATAACGCACTCGTCACTTTGTACATTGACATGCTGTATACTAGTATATGCAGTTGTACAATATACTTCATAAATGTGATGTGTCCTTTGGTTTGTCGAGGTAGCAAGAATGGAGGATTAAAGAATATGAAGTCCGGCGAATACCGGAAGCCGACTCATTCCCAGAACTGTATGCCCTGTTGAAATTGGGACGTAGCTATCTTCAAATATAGCTTCCCTAATTCCTTTGGCAGGGTTTAAAACAAAGGCTGGGCCACTGTTCAAGGCCTGGACCATCTTTCACAAAACGTTTTAAGTCAGCTTTGGAGATAAATTTTAGATACCAAAATTAAGCTGCCTTATATTCACTTCACACACACACATACACACACACACACTCTCGCGCACGCGCACGTGATATCATGAGTAAAACAAAACAAACATTCTAATTTCCAAGATGGGCTTATATTTCCCGTTGCTTAGCACAACAAATGCTGTCAGTAGGCTCCGCCCCAGTTATTATACAACGGGCTGAGCTAATGTGAAACTGATCCATGGAAAACTGAAATTACCTTACCAGTTACGTTGACTCGGTGCATGAGAAATTAAGGTAACCTCATATTCTTTAATCTTAATTAATACAATGAACCAACTTTAAGGTAATTTTACCAACGGGTTTGAGACGAAATGAGGAATAAGAGGAAACAATCATAATTTAAGTAGTCACATCTGGGAAATGTCACTTTCCAACCAGATAAGAGAAGTCATTAAAAGCCCTTGGTATATAAACACTCGAGAGTGAATGAGCTTTCTATATGCGGGGCTGAAGGTAAACAGCATGAAGTATTAACAAATAATACAACTGAATGTTGCAAATACACGCACCTAATACTTTGCTGAGTGTACAAGAAACTGGTGGACAATATGTTGCGATGAGTTAAAAACGGTCGCGGTGCGGTATCGACAATGTAAGGGGAAATGTTGACAAAGCGAATCTGGATCGAAATATATAAACAATACACCAATTGTTTTGGTTTTTACATATGATTTTTGAGCTGGCAGGGCAGCACAAATGACCAGCTCCAAAGAAACTTTCAATTTTTGAAGTTTTGTTTAATCTACAGAACTGTCTGCATTTGTTGCTTAAACATAAATATGGTAGCCGAAAATCGCCTAGGATGAACATATGCTATCCTCTACCATGGTCAAATATTATGTACACATTTCTCTGATTCAGACGGAAAAGTCCTGTCATGAAAAATCTATCTGTGGCCGTGGTAGAGGGAACACTGTAAATGAATGTCAGGTCACCATCAAATACAGAGAGATAAAATAATACAATATGATTTGTTCCAGCGCTTGAGAAGAATGACACGGGACAATACAACTGCCTGTTCTCCACGAATAATGGCGTCCAGCAGACGGCGTCATCCCGCGTGGTTGTTGGTAGGGCAGCTTTGTTTTTTTTTGTTTCCTAATTAAACAAAGCAAAAGTATAGGTAAAGGACAAACACATATATGGTGTTCGAAATTTGGCCGGTGACAGCCGCTTTTATTGAAAAGTCCCTCTGATAAATCAATAGCGCGAAGTTTTATGTAGAATTAGATAATGTTGAGTAAATTAAAATTGTATAATAGTATAGCATAAATAATAAATATCCAAACAAATATTTTCATTTATGGGGTATCAAAGAAGCTTAATTAAAAGTGATCTGTAATAGGGTGCTGATGAGGGGAGTGAGAATACACGTAAGCGTTAATGTCAAAGGGGGGGAGGTGTAATGCCCCTCTCTCACCGTACTGAAAAGTATTCTTCGAACTGAGAAGATGGTCGATGGCTCATCGAAATATCCCTTGTGTGTAAAATGGCCTAGCTTATAACAAAATATTAAGTAATTATTACTTACCGAAATAATTAATTTAGAAAATATTTTCAAACAAAGTTTTTTATATTTTAAAAATAGCATTGTGTCTTTTTGGTTGGTCACTAGTTATTGGTATATGTAGATGTATTAAAACGCTTCATAGCAATATAACTCTATGAATGCGACAGGTGGGAATACAATAATCACAATCACCTAATTTCTATGATCAGATTTTGACGCCTGCGAGAATAACAACTGCTCTGAGAACGCTACTTGCGTCGCCACCAGTACTGGGTACACGTGTACCTGTTTTGACGGGTTCACAGGGGACGGAACTACTTGTACAGGTAGGCCGTATACTTTCTGTCCTTTACAGATGTATATATTATAACCTTGTACGATCTTGTTCTTTTTATCTGATAATAAGCGATTGGGTTAAATATTCACATTCTATTAAGATTACATACATGTAGTTGCTGTACCATCTACCAGGGCCGCAGATTGATTTTTGAACTAGAAATTCACATGTTTGTCTTTGGTTAATTCATGGCACATTTATCCGCCGCGTTGGAGAAAGTATATGAACACATAATTAATCTGGTAGCGGGTATAGTAGCTGGACATCTTCAAAATTGACTCAGAAGGTATTACTTATCTGCAAATTTATGTACCCAGTACAAATTTAACATAAACTCTTATAATTTATTCATCTGCAACTATACATAACCACATGTAATAGAAGCATTAAAAACATAAATAGCTCATGCGAACGTGTTATTATTTGTTTTAATTCAATTAATTTAATGCACTACTGAAATGTTTAAACATTTATATTTGCCGACCTTCCTTCTATTCATTTAGATATTGATGAATGCTCCGACGTCAATCTCAACAACTGCACGGCGAATGCTGCCTGTGTGAATACTATAGGAGGATACCAGTGTGTTTGTTTACCAGGGTTCAATGACACTGGAGAGAGTTGTGTCGGTGAGGAAGATTCGATTACGGGTGTTTTTAGAATCTGGGCGATTTCCACGTGTAATGTACGTACGTAAAGTCAATTTTCGGGCTTTAACCCCATGCAGCTTCCTAATTCCCCCTTTACACTGAACGGCGTCCTGTCTGTGTCCTTTGTGCAACCATGATACTGCAGGTATCGCTGTGGTCGTAGAAAGGAGGCACAAGCATCGCCTTGGTTGCAGAATCAATGCTCACTGATCGGCCAGTTGTTGGCCCTTTTAAGTGTTTTTTTACTCACAAATGGGACCGTTCTAATGGACGCAGAGAGGACCCTGTCTAGTATAAAGTGGGCTTAGGATTTAACCAATTTACGCCTCACGAACAATATAATGGCTCATAGTACCCAATGAAGCTGTCGATCTACGTTGATCGATATAACTCTGAAGGGACTCTCGCTGAATGCAATCATTAAACAGACGACTATTATCATATTACTTTTTCAATATTTCAGACATTGATGAATGCCAAAACCTCGAGTTGTCGAAATGTTCGGAAAACGCTACCTGTACCAACTCAGAACCAGGCTTTGAATGCACATGCGCATTCGGGTTCTCGGGAAATGGCACTTTTTGTGAAGGTATAATATGTACTTATTATTATTATTATTATTATAATTATTATTATTATTATTCCAAATTACATTTGTCATAGGTTTGGAATGCTACTTATCGTAAAGTTCGGCTTCTTACAGATTAATGTGAAAATAGAATACCCCTTAACTCTTACTACGATCAGTCAGACAAATACATAGATTGGTCGACAGAGTATTTCAGATCGAACTATTTATAAGAACATCTACTTTAATAAACAAGTAGCGTATGTACAAGTAGCATTTTAAACAGTATCATTAAATCCTTGAAACCTGAAACGAACCACCAATAAAACTAAAAAAACTGTGAATGAAATAAAGTCTTACACAAAAACAAATTGATCACTATATGCTTGTAATCAAATTACTGGAACATCTAATAGACAAACCAATACATTTTCAGTGAGTACCGTGGAGAAGTTACTGGAGGACAACATGCCTTTAATCGTTGGAGTCACAGCGGCTGTTATCGCAGTGGTGGTCGTGATTATTATCGTTGTTATTGTGAAGACGACGTCTTCCAAAAAAGATTACCAAGGCATGTAATCAAGGGATCCTACCCGGCCCGTTAAGATCGGAAAACCGGTCTATAACTTTAGTCATCCAGCAACCAGATTGGAGAAAAGTCGCACATTTGCAACAGTGCGCATGTTTTGTTTTAACATGATATTGATTGTTTTTTTGAAATCTACATCCAGTAAGTTATAATTAATTTTATGCAATAATGCAAAAATTGAGACAAGCTTGAAAACCAAAGAGTTCACTTTGCCAACATGAGTTTAAAACCCAAATAAAAACATGGCCGTTAGCGTTCGAGTAATTCATGACGTAATACATAGTAATATATAATAATGAGTAATACATAAAGCATGAAAGTTTCAGCATCTACTATTTTAACAGATTTACAATTTACGTTGACATCTTTGTTTTATCGACCAATCGTACTGGTCAGTGGAATGAATTTTCAAAAAAGACTTCCTCATACCAGCTGAATAAAGACCTATTGTTTTACAGATAAATTTTTCCTTTAAGTAAAATACTTATAAAAGTAGACGAACTTTCAAGTTTCAAGATTGATTTATTTACCAAATGGGTCAGTGTGTAAACTGCGTCATTTTCTGAAACACACATTTGAAGTGGCTTTCTTTATTTTAATACGTAGTTACTCAAACCAAGGACTTGTACATGTATCAGATTGTATTTTCGGTGTTTTAATAAACTCTCTATCATTACAACTACATGTGTAATGCATTGGTCCTCAACTTCAAATGTGTATATAATTTACATCCTATAGACCACTATAACACTTGGATTACTATTTCACCGACTGGAGCACAGATATGTTTATTTTGTTTCAAGTGTGCGACGATATTACTGGACATGAAATGTCAAGGAAGAACAAGAGTAGCCTAATTTCCCCCTGTACATATATCAGATTACGTCGTAATTTACCCGTGACATACCCGTGCTATTTCCACTGAAGATCAAGTAATAAATATGCAGTGAGAATACACCGAACTATTATGATGCTATGGCGACCCAACCTGGTCGCCACATAATTTTTTGTTTCCGACACCCACCAGAAGAAATATGTGGGATTTAAACACGTGCTCCACTTTCTTCGAGCTTAAAGGGGACATTGGTCGAGATTCTTATTTGATGAAGTTTTCTTATTGGATATTTTTCATATTGATA